TATAAGTCACCTCATTAAATTTTTAATATAAATGGACTATTTTGTTTTTCTCTTATTATAGTATAGATATTTATTTTTTTAAAAAAGTGTATATATTAAATAGAGGTACAGTTAAAAAATTGTTATATTTTAAAAAAGAGTTAATATAGTTTAAGGTTTTTCTTGATCTATATAAAATATGTTGGAAGCGCCGTATAAATAGAATAATAAGAATATTACTCTCATCGACATTTTTTTCATATAGCTTTATTAACAAGTGTGTATAAATTGAAAAATCTAGTTAAAGTTAATTAAAGTTTTTAAAATTTCGAAATCAGCTGAAATGATTTTGTCCAAAAAATAAAAATAAAAATAAAAACATCATTGAAGTCGGCAATGTCCCTCGCAGCCCACATGTTATGATTATTATGTTTATATAAAATATATTGGAAGCTTCCTCTAGATAGAATAAGAGGAATATTACTCTCATCGATGTTGTTTTCATTTGGATTTATTAACAAGGAAGCCGGTAATGGCCATCTAACATGTCATGGTTATTCTCGTCGTTTAGAGCCATACATGCTCCAATGACTTTGACGTTGACCATGAATCATGAATTACGTCTTTAATAAAACGTGGAACAAGAAGCTGAGAAGTTGTCTGATTATTGTAAGTATAAAATTAAAAACGCCAAAATATATTATATATAATGAAATGCAGCGTCATTGAGGCATCGCATTGAAGTTAAACTGGCCCGGCTTTCATCATTAGAATTTTTGTAAGTAAATTTTCCTGACAAAGGAGTACCTCTCTTGTTTTATTTACGAGACGTTTTCAGCATATTTTACATAAATTGAAAAAATTTTTAAACCACATTAACATTTTTGTAAAATATAATAATTTTTCAATTTTATTTCTATTTAATATATATTTTAAAAAATAACTGTTTATATTATAATAAATAAAAAGTAAAATAGTATATTTATATTAAAAATTTAATAAAATATTTTATAAATAGGATAAAAAAATTTTTATAAATGAGATGAGATGAGTATAACTATAAGCGAAGACTTCATAGTATATTGACTTGGTGATTGAGAATGATAATTGAATTCCAATAGGGCGGGCGGGCCCAGCACCAACGCCCACGTTATAATTATTATGTCCGCTACTTCTGAGCCATACACGCTACAGTGACTTTGACGTTGGTGATCACTCATTAAATGCCTCTTTAACAAAACGTAGAAAAAGGTGAGCAAATTTTCCTGGCAGGGGAGTGCCACTAAGAGAGAAGACTTTATAGAACTTTTTCTGTTTTTAATATAGGACTCAATTGTTGAATTTATTTTGATTTTAAATATAAGATTTATTTTTTATATTTATCAATTTTTTTAAATTACTCCAATAGATACTCCTTCAACTATAATCAAATAGAAGAAAGAGATGTGGTATTAAGAAAGATGATTATGGTGTTTTAGGAAAAACATGTCATATTTTTTATAATTACCTAACTTATCTAATTTTTTTAATCTAATCAAATTAATTAAATAGATTTTATATTAATAATAAGAAGAGTATATTGACTTGGCGAGTGAGAATGATAATTGAATTCCAATAGGGTGGGCCGCCCCAGCACCTACGCACACATTATGATTATTACGTCCACTCCTTGTGAGCCATACACGCTCCGGTGACTTTGACGTTGACGATGACTCGTTAAATGCGTCTTTAACAAAACGTACAAAAAGATGAGTAAATTTTTCTGACAGAAGAGTGCCCCTATAGGGGAAGACTTTACATTGACTTGTTGATTGAGACTGATCATTGAATTCCAATAGGGCGGGCTGCCCCAACAACACGTTTTATTTATCATTTTTTTCCCTGTTTTTATTTTTTCATGGCCCTCATAGTTAATTTATCACTTAACACATGTCTTTAGAATCCTTTAAAAAGCTAGGCGGAATTAGCATATTCTCAAGTTACATTACATTTAAGATGGGCCAAGAGCCATATGAGGAATAATTTTTTAATAAGTACAGTTTCTGAAATTTGAACTTGTATTTTTTTCAGATAAGTGAGACTACTACTACCTCAATTAACATCTTGTTAGTAAAGTCATACAAAGTACAAATTTGTTCTGTAAGTTTTCAGACACTAGGAAGTTTCTTTTTTTATATATATAAATTTGCCTCGAAAGTGTAAAATCATAACAATTTTTTCCTATTGTTAAAACACTAACGTTGATTGGTTAAATAGTAATATTGATCGTTAACATTTTTAACAGTATGAGACAAATTTGTTAAGATTTTAAACATTCAGGATAAATTTACAATAAAAAAAGCTTTCAAACGCTTAGGGTTCATGAGTTAAAACTTCCAAGACAAATTTGTATACTAACTTTTTAAAAGTTTATATTTCTTTTAAACATAAAAATTAAATAATTAATTTGTAAAATTTTATTAAAAGAATAGTTATTGATAAAAGAATATCTGTTGCTTTTTATGAAGTAATTATTTTAAGCATTTGTCTTGAAAAAGACAAATCAAAACAAACTTTTTTATTAGCTCTTATATTTAAAATCAAATGAGTATTATTTTTAATAAAAATTAAATCATCTTCCTATGTAAAGGCCGAACCTCTCCACTATCTTGTGCACCACTCAAACAATGGGCACTGTGATATTACTATTATGCCATGCTGCTCCTTTCTTCCCCATTATTGCCACTACCATGATAGCTGAGGAGAAACAGAAACATGCTCTGCATTAGGGCAACTGGCGGAATGCCTCCAACCTTTCTGGCATTATAGGGAATCTGTACGTAGAAGCATCAAATAAAAACTCAATAATAATTTAATAAACTTGCATTGTACATAACTGATTAAGAAAAATGTCATACTCAAATGGCATGGAGATTGCCAAATTGCGACATATTTGACACTTTTGGCACCTATACATATATGTGTGCACGCACGCGTGCATGTGTGTAATATGATTATGAAGGATTTAGAAGGAGGAGGTGACGCCACTAATAACAACAACAAAAACAATCTTTAATTTTGTCTAGCATTAGGGGAGGTTTTTGTTGAAAACCAAAACTGCATTAAGAATAAGAAAATACAGGAAATCCAAAAAAAAAAAAGAAGCAAAACAGGAGGATGTGAAGAGTAGACTAATACCTGTTTGGTTAAATGCTTATAAGCAAATTCATGTAAGATGAAACGAAACTTTCCTTATATACTTATCTTGTATTATGTGAATCTTAATAAAAGAATTTTTTTTAAATGAAGCATCACCATTCCAAACAAACAGTAAAAGATTAATCTAATTTGATGGCTGAGTTATTGGGCTTTTAAGGGTCTTTTTATAGGACTTTATTAACAACATGGTATAAAGACAAAAAAACAAAAAATAAAAGCTAAGGGAAGACTACTCCTTGTTGTATCAATTAAACTTAATAAGCTTAACTAAGGTCGTTGGAGTTTATCTTTTAGGATTTGGATCCTTGTAGTTTAAACTCATGCTGCTAATAATTAACTGTGCTGATATGGCTTAATAGCGTTAAAAATAATTATGTGGCAAATGGTGTCAACAAAAAAAATTGCCTAAAATTACTTGAAGATTTTAAAATTCTAAAATTATCTCAAATAATTTTAGTCAAAAAATAAATAAATAAAAATATCAACCAAATCAAGTCTTCTCATCACACACGTTATGATTATGTCCATTTATCTTGAGGAGGCGTACGCTGCTCAAGCCATTTTGACGTCGACGGTGCCTTATATACAAAAGGGGTTCTTTAAAATCTAGGAAAAAAGTGTAAAATTATGTAATTTTTGCTAACAAAATAAAAAGCACCAAAAATAGATTTTTTTTAATTAAAAAAGCAGCAATATAGATATTGAAAGGCCATGTGAATGAGCCGGCTACATTGATTAATGAAGTGTTTTGGTGAAAATCAATACCATATATGAGGTCATAATGTGAAAAGAGTTTTATATAGACTTGTGTCTTACTTTTTAAAAGTGTTTTTTAAGTAAACTAAACACTCCTTTGAAAAAAAAGAAAAAGCTCAAACACGTTTATTTCTTTCTTCCACTATTTTTTATTATGGGAAGTAAATGCATTCAGCTTTCCTTATTAGAATAATAACCTTCCTAAATCGGCTTCGATGCTAATTTTGGTTATCATTTTGAATCTTTCATTAACTAATGATGATTAGTTGTATTAATTGTCATTCTATAATTTTACTAACAGTAATTAGAATTCGAATGTTTTTTCAACTAATTACAATTCTAATTATTTCAAATACTCTTTTCTTGTAAGAAACGGGGCAAAAAGCCTTATAAACTTATATTCATCAACAAAACAAAAACGTGGGTAAGAAATGTTCACTAAGTCCTTCAGATAAGTATCTACCACATCACTGGGGGCACCCAACCTGTACAGCTTATTTAATCTTTCCCATCCCAAAATATAAGCTCACTTAGGATATTAATGTTTTTTTTCCCCAATTTAGTCCTGCTTGAAAATATGTAGTCCCTTTCAAATGTAAAGCATCGATATCTTCAAATTTAATAAGAACAATGCCGGAAAGTATTATTGTTATTTTTTAAGTAAATTTATGAGTTAACTTTGATTTTGCTTTTCTATTTCTCTTTATCTATTTGCACGTAATAAGTAAACCGACAGGTGTGCTGGTTAAAAAAAAAAAAAAAAAAAGCGACAGGTGAGTACAGGTGAGGAAGACTTTGATATTGACTTGGGCGGTTGAGAATATAATGATAATTTCATCCCAAGAAGGCGGCCCCGCGTATGTGCAACTCGTTTTCTTTGTTTTAATTATTTATTTTGCGAACGGTTTTCTCTGTCTTTTATTACGCGGTGTCATTGGACGACATTGACGTGGAAATAACATACTTCCAAAGCCCTGGTAATTAAGCTTTTGTCTATATAAAGACTCTACGATGGGTGCATTCATTATTGTGTGATCACCACTTTGTGCAAATATAATTAAAGCAAGATGGGTGTGATGATATTGGTATTGTTACTATGCTTTGAGATATCTTGCTCCCAGCAGATTAATATGATAGAAGAGGAGAAACGAGCTCTGCTTCATACCAAATGGTGGGATTTTAGTCATAACTTCTCAGGCATATATTACAATGAATTTGGAAGCGTTATTGAGATTAGTCGGCCAATGATCACTCCAAAAGACCTTCGACTAGCAGATCTAAACTTCACTGCATTTCCCAACCTACAACATTTGGATCTTCATGAAATGGGTTTGATAGGTACTATTCCAACTCAGATAGCAAGTCTTTATAATCTCAAGCGCTTGAACTCGTTTAATAATAATCTTACTGGTGAGTTATATAGCTTTTGCTTTCACTCTTACCTTGCAAAACTCTGTCAATTTTAAAATGTTATATTTATCTCTACACAATTTAATACATCTATTGACAAGTACCATTCCAACGTAGATAGAAACTCTTCAAAATCTTACCATTATTTATTTCAAAACAATCCTGCTAGTAAATTAATTAACATTTACTCTTACCAAAACTCACTCATATACTGGCAAGTTGACATTTATTCTAGCTTCTACTGGTGAACTTTTATGCATCAGTTGGATTAGGAGAACTATGTTTGTGAACTTTGGTTATCCGGTTTTTAAAATATTGATGATCTATCACTTCCTTTTTCTGGAATTTTAGAAGAATACAAAATAAGAGGAGGCAAAATTAATAGAAGAGACTGAAAACCAAGCTAATTTTTTGTAGCTAAGTTATCGGGTTTTTGATGTCCCAAATGTTTGCTTACAATTTTTATCGGGACACTTGCAATAATTAGAACAAGTTTAAGTGCTTATTGCAGGGATGATCACCGTTATCCTCATCACTACAATGACATCATGAACAATTATAGTTTTAACTATTTAAATTTATAGTTTTTTAACCAATGATTTTAAGCACGTAAAAAATTATTTTCTTGAAATTGTGAATAATTAAGATATTATTGCTATTTTAAATTTTTGCATAGATAGAAATGTCAAATTATTTAAAACATAAAAATAAAATTACATTTAATCTTAGACCGTTCAATTTTATTTTGAACGGCCCAGATTTCCAAATTGAATGCCCTGCATAAGGGGTTAGCTATATTTATCCATTAATTCTCCAGCATGTATTGGTACATTTGATTCTTTTTATAAGGCTTTATTAACAACTTTGTCTAAATTTAAAAATTTAATTAAAATTGATTAAATTTTTTAATATTTAAAAATTACCTGACATGGTTTTTTCAACCCAAAAAAAATATCAATGAAATCTCCTCTTCCAATCACACACGTTATAGTTATGTCATTTTGTCGTGAGGCATACTGCAACTTTGATGTTGATGATGGCTTACAAAAAGGTGTTTAGAACGTAGAAAAAGAAGTGGTAAAGTTGTGACTTTTGTGATATCAAATTAAAAGCACTAGTCAAAATATACAGTACTCCCTCTGATCAACTGGTGGAGTATTTACAAACTCTTCAGACGGCCCTTGTGAGTATATTGCAATGATAATGGAAGTGTTATTTGGATAACACCCATCTATGGACCCATTTTTCAAGCCAGCCCTAGGTAGTAGATCTCAACTTCACTGCATTTACTAATCTTACAGAATTGGATCTTAGAGAAATAGGATTGATAGGTATGATTCAAATTCAAATAGGATCTTAGAAAACAAGGAAATTAAAGCTGAAATACATAAATCAGTTTGCTATACAATTTTCTCAATGGCAATATTCGAATGAAGTTTCTAACTCTTTTCCACACTACATTTTTAATGTTAGTGCAAAAATACTTGGAAAAGAGGAGATCCACGATTGCTCTAAAATACCTTTTTTGATAAGAAATAATGTAGAACACATTTGTAACTCAAATGACTAGCTTTGACTGTACCATTCCAACTCAAATAGTAGCTCTTCCAAATGTCACTTATCTATACTTGTCTTACAACAATATTATTGGCTAGTTATGCACCTTTCACTTTCATCCTGCAAATTTGCTGAATTTAGATCTGTATTTATATCCATAACTTAACAGAATATGTTAACCATAATAAAAAATAACACAGAACACATTTAAACCCAAATGATTGGCTTTGACAAGCACCACTCCAACTCAAATTGAACTTCTTCATAGTCTTATCTCTTTGCACTTGTCTAACAACAATCTTAATGATGAGTTCTAAACCTTTCACTCTCATCTTGCAAATTTGCTCAAGTTTTATTTACCTCTATAATTTAATAGAGCAAATTCACCCTCAATTTTTATTTGATAAGAAATAAGCTCCAATACATTTACAACTCAAATGACTAGCATCGACAGGTACCATTCCAACTAATATTAGAGCACTTCCAAATCCTACTTATCTAGACTTGTCTTACAACAATATTATTGGCAAGTTATGCACTGTTCACTCCCATCTTGCAAATTTGCTCAATTTAGATTTGTATTTACATCTATAACTTAATAGATTGTGTTAACCTTGATAAGAAATAACATAGAACACATTTGAACTCAAATGACTGGCTCTCACAGGTATGATTCCAACTCAAATTGGACTTCTTCATAGTCTTATCTCTTTGGACTTGTCTAACAACAATCTTAATGGTGAGTTATGCACCTTTCACTTTCATCTTGCAAATTTGCTCAAATTCTATTTACCTCTATAACTTGATAAAGCAAATCCATCATTAATTTTTCTTTGACAAGAAATAAGCTCCAATACATTTACAACTAAATGACTGGCTTTGACAGGCACCATTCCAACTGAAATTGGAGCTCTTCCAAATCTCACTCATCTAGACTTGTCTTACAACAAGATTATTGGTGAGTTATGCACCTTTCACTCCCATCTCGTAAATTTGATCAATTTAGATTTGTATTTACATTTATAACTTAACAGAATATGGTAACCTTGGTAAGAAATTATGTGGAACACACATCTGAACTCAAATGAGTGGCTCTGACAGGTACCATTCCAACTCAAATTGGACTTCTTCATAGTCTTATCTCTTTGAACTTGTCTCGGAACAATCTTAATGGTGAGTTATGCACTTTTTACTCTCATCTTGCAAACTTGCTCAAGTTCTATTTACCTCCATAACTTAATAGAGCAAATTCATCTTCAATTTTTATTTTATAAGTAACAAGCTCCAATAGATTTTCAACTCAAACAATTGGCTACAATAGGTACCATTCCACTTGAAATGGGAGCTTTTGCAAGTCTCACTTTTCTAGACTTGTCTTACAATAAGATTATTGGAGAGTTATGCACCTTTCACTCCCATCTCGCAAATTTGCTCAATTTAGATTTGTATTTACATTTATAACTTAATAGAATCTGCTAACCTTGGTAAGAAATTACATAGAACACACATGTGAACTCAAATGAATAGCTCTGACAGGTACCATTCCAACTCAAATTAGGCGTCTTGATAGTCTAGTCTATTTGGACTTGTCTGACAACAATCTTAGTGGTGAGTTATGCAACTTTCACTCCCATCTCGCAAATTTGCTCAATTTAGATTTGTGTTTACATTTATAACTTAACAGAATATGTTAACCTTGGTAAGAAATTACGTGTAACACACATCTAAACTCAAATGAGTGGCTCTGACAAGTGCCATTCACACTCAAATTGGGCTTCTTGATAGTCTAGTCTATTTGGACTTGTTTCACAACAATCTTAGTGGTGAGTTATGCACCTTTCACTCCCATCTCGCAAATTTGCTCAAGTTCTGTTTATCTCCATAACTTAATAGAGCAAATTCATCCTCAATTTTTATTTGACAAGAGATAACCTCCAATACATTTACAACTCAAGTGATTGGCATTGACAGGCACCATTCCAATTGAAATTGGAGCTCTTCGAAATCTCACTTATCTAGACTTGTCGTACAACAAGATTTTTGGTGAGTTATGCACTTTTCACTCCCATCTCGCAAATTTGATCAATTTAGATTTGTGTTTACATTTATAACTTAACAGAATATGTTAACCTTGGTAAGAAATTACATGGAACACACATCTGAACTCGAATGAGTGGCTATGACAGGTACCATTCCAACTCAAATTGCACTTCTTCATGGTCTTATCTCTTTGAACTTGTCTAACAACAATCTTGGTGGTGAGTTATGCACCTTTCACTCTCCTCTTGCAAATTTGCTCAAGTTCTATTTACCTCCATAACTTAATAGAGCAAATTCATCTTCAATTTTTATTTTATAAGTAATAAGCTCCAATAGATTTTCAACTCAAACAATTGGCTTCGAGAGGTACCATTCCACCTCAAATGGGAGCTCTTGCAAGTCTCACTGATCTAGACTTGTCTTACAATCAGTTTTTTAGTGAGTTATGCACTTTTTACTCCCATCTCGCAAATTTGCTCACTTTAGATTTGTATTTACATCAATAACTTAACAGAATATGTTAACCCTGGTAAGAAATTACATAGAACACACATTTGAACTCAAATGACTGGCTTTGAAAGGTACCATTCCAACTCAATTTAGAGGGTGTTTGGATCGAAACCAAATCATGGTTTTAGAAGTGCTTTTACGGTTTACGAAATAAATATGTGGAAGAGTTTGCCTCGTTTTGCAGAAAAGTGCTTCTGAAACCATGGTTTGGAGGTTGCCAAACACCCCTTTAGACTTGTTGATAGTCTTGACTATTTGGACTTGTCTAACAACAAGTTTAGTGGTGGGTTATGCGCCTTTCACTCTCATCTTGCAAATTTGCTCAAGTTCTATTTACCTCCATAACTTAATAGAGCAAATTCATCTTCAATTTTTATTTTATAAGAAATAAGCTCCAATAGATTTTCAACTCAAATAATTGGCTTCGACAGGTACCATTCCACCTCAAATGGGAGCTCTTGCAAATCTCACTGTTCTAGACTTGTCTTACAATAAGATTATTGGTGAGTTATGCACCTTTCGCTCCGATCTCACAAATTTGCTCAATTTAGATTTGTATTTACATTTATAACTTAACAGAATATGTTAACCCTGGTAAGAAATTACGTGGAACACATATCTGAACTCGAATGAGTGGCTCTGACAGGTACCATTCCAACTCAAATTGGACTTCTTCATAGTCTTATCTCTTTGAACTTGTCTAACAACAATCTTGTTGGTGAGTTATGCACCTTTCACTCTCATCTTGCAAAGTTGCTGAAGTTCTATTTACCTCCATAACTTAATAGAGCAAATTCATCTTCAATTTTTATTTTATTAGTAATAAGTTCCAATAGATTTTCAACTCAAATAATTGGCTTCGACAGGTACCATTCCACCTCAAATGGGAGCTCTTGCAAATCTCACTGTTCTAGACTTGTCTTACAATAAGATTATTGGTGAGTTATGCACCTTTCGCTCCGATCTCGCAGATTTGATCAATTTAGAATTGTGTTTACATTTATAACTTCACAGAATATGTTAACCTTGGTAAGAAATTACATGGAACACACATCTGAACTCGAATGAGTGGCTATGACAGGTACCATTCCAACTCAAATTGCACTTCTTCATGGTCTTATCTCTTTGAACTTGTCTAACAACAATCTTGGTGGTGAGTTATGCACCTTTCACTCTCCTCTTGCAAATTTGCTCAAGTTCTATTTACCTCCATAACTTAATAGAGCAAATTCATCTTCAATTTTTATTTTATAAGTAATAAGCTCCAATAGATTTTCAACTCAAACAATTGGCTTCGAGAGGTACCATTCCACCTCAAATGGGAGCTCTTGCAAGTCTCACTGATCTAGACTTGTCTTAGAATCAGTTTTTTAGTGAGTTGTGCACTTTTTACTCCCATCTCGCAAATTTGCTCAATTTAGATTTGTGTTTCCATTTATAACTTAACAGAATATGTTAACCCTTGTAAGAAATTACGTGGAACACACATCTGAACTCGAATGAGTGGCTCTGACAGGTCCCATTCCAACTCAAATTGGACTTCTTCATAGTCTTGACTATTTGCACTTGTCTAACAACAATCTTAATGGTGAGTTACGCACCTCTCACTCTCGTCTTGCAAATTTGCTCAAGTTCTGTTTATCTCCATAACTTAATAGAGCAAATTCATCCTCAATTTTTATTTGACAAGAGATAAGCTCCAATACATTTACAACTCAAGTGACTGGCATTGACAGGCACCATTCCAACTGAAATTGGAGCTCTTCGAAATCTCACTCATCTAGACTTGTCGTACAACAAGATTGTTGGTGAGTTATACACTTTTCACTCCCATCTCGCAAATTTGATCAATTTAGATTTGTGTTTACATTTATAACTTAACAGAATATGTTAACATTGGTAAGAAATTACATGGAACACACATCTGAACTCGAATGAGTGGCTCTGACAGGTACCATTCCAACTCAAATTGGACTTCTTCATAGTCTTATCTCTTTGAACTTGTCTAACAACAATCTTGTTGGTGAGTTATGCACCTTTCACTCTCATCTTGCAAAGTTGCTGAAGTTCTATTTACCTCCATAACTTAATAGAGCAAATTCATCTTCAATTTTTATTTTATTAGTAATAAGTTCCAATAGATTTTCAACTCAAATAATTGGCTTCGACAGGTACCATTCCACCTCAAATGGGAGCTCTTGCAAATCTCACTGTTCTAGACTTGTCTTACAATAAGATTATTGGTGAGTTATGCACCTTTCGCTCCGATCTCGCAGATTTGATCAATTTAGAATTGTGTTTACATTTATAACTTCACAGAATATGTTAACCTTGGTAAGAAATTACATGGAACACACATCTGAACTCGAATGAGTGGCTATGACAGGTACCATTCCAACTCAAATTGCACTTCTTCATGGTCTTATCTCTTTGAACTTGTCTAACAACAATCTTGGTGGTGAGTTATGCACCTTTCACTCTCCTCTTGCAAATTTGCTCAAGTTCTATTTACCTCCATAACTTAATAGAGCAAATTCATCTTCAATTTTTATTTTATAAGTAATAAGCTCCAATAGATTTTCAACTCAAACAATTGGCTTCGAGAGGTACCATCCACCTCAAATGGGAGCTCTTGCAAGTCTCACTGATCTAGACTTGTCTTACAATCAGTTTTTTAGTGAGTTATGCACTTTTTACTCCCATCTCGCAAATTTGCTCACTTTAGATTTGTATTTACATCAATAACTTAACAGAATATGTTAACCCTGGTAAGAAATTACATAGAACACACATTTGAACTCAAATGACTGGCTTTGAAAGGTACCATTCCAACTCAATTTAGAGGGTGTTTGGATCGAAACCAAATCATGGTTTTAGAAGTGCTTTACGGTTTACGAAATAAATATGTGGAAGAGTTTGCCTCGTTTTGCAGAAAAGTGCTTCTGAACCATGGTTTGGAGGTTGCCAAACACCCCTTTAGACTTGTTGATAGTCTTGACTATTTGGACTTGTCTAACAACAAGTTTAGTGGTGGGTTATGCGCCTTTCACTCTCATCTTGCAAATTTGCTCAAGTTCTATTTACCTCCATAACTTAATAGAGCAAATTCATCTTCAATTTTTATTTTATAAGAAATAAGCTCCAATAGATTTTCAACTCAAATAATTGGCTTCGACAGGTACCATTCCACCTCAAATGGGAGCTCTTGCAAATCTCACTGTTCTAGACTTGTCTTACAATAAGATTATTGGTGAGTTATGCACCTTTCGCTCCGATCTCGCAAATTGCTCAATTTAGATTTGTATTTACATTTATAACTTAACAGAATATGTTAACCCTGGTAAGAAATTACGTGGAACACATATCTGAACTCGAATGAGTGGCTCTGACAGGTACCATTCGAACTCCAATTGGACTTCTTCATAGTCTTATCTCTTTAAAGTTGTCTAACAACAATCTTGATGGTGAGTTATGCACCTTTCACTCTCATCTTGCAAATTTGCTCAAGTTTTATTTAGCTCCATAACTTAATAGAGCAAATTCATCTTCAATTTTTATTTTATAAGTAATAAGCTCCAATAGATTTTCAACTCAAACAATTGGCTTCGACAGGTACCATTCCCCGTGAAATGGGAGTTCTTGCAAGTCTCACTTTTCTAGACTTGTCTTACAATAAGATTATTGGTGAGTTATGCACCTTTCGCTCCGATCTCGCAGATTTGATCAATTTAGAATTGTGTTTACATTTATAACTTAACAGAATATGTTAACCTTGGTAAGAAATTACATGGAACACACGTCTGAACTCGAATGAGTGGCTATGACAGGTACCATTCCAACTCAAATTGCACTTCTTCATGGTCTTATCTCTTTGAACTTGTCTAACAACAATCTTGGTGGTGAGTTATGCACCTTTCACTCTCCTCTTGCAAATTTGCTCAAGTTCTATTTACCTCCATAACTTAATAGAGCAAATTCATCTTCAATTTTTATTTTATAAGTAATAAGCTCCAATAGATTTTCAACTCAAACAATTGGCTTCGAGAGGTACCATTCCACCTCAAATGGGAGCTCTTGCAAGTCTCACTGATCTAGACTTGTCTTACAATCAGTTTTTTAGTGAGTTATGCACTTTTTACTCCCATCTCGCAAATTTGCTCACTTTAGATTTGTATTGACATCAATAACTTAACAGAATATGTTAACCCTGGTAAGAAATTACATAGAACACACATTTGAACTCAAATGACTGGCTTTGAAAGGTACCATTCCAACTCAATTTAGAGGGTGTTTGGATCGAAACCAAATCATGGTTTTAGAAGTGCTTTTACGGTTTACGAAATAAATATGTGGAAGAGTTTGCCTCGTTTTGCAGAAAAGTGCTTCTGAAAACCATGGTTTGGAGTTGCCAAACACCCCTTTAGACTTGTTGATAGTCTTGACTATTTGGACTTGTCTAACAACAAGTTTAGTGGTGGGTTATGCGCCTTTCACTCTCATCTTGCAAATTTGCTCAAGTTCTATTTACCTCCATAACTTAATAGAGCAAATTCATCTTCAATTTTTATTTTATAAGTAATAAGCTCCAATAGATTTTCAACTCAAATAATTGGCTTCGACAGGTACCATTCCATTTGAAATAGGAGCTCTTGCAAATCTCACTGTTCTAGACTTGTCTTACAATAAGATTATTGGTGAGTTATGCACCTTTCGCTCCGATCTCGCAAATTTGCTTAATTTAGATTTGTATTTACTTTTATAACTTAACAGAATATGTTAACCCTAGTAAGAAATTATGTGGAACACACATCTGAACTCTAATGAGTGGCTTTGACAGGTAACATTCCAACTCCAATTGGACTTTTTGATAGTCTTATCTCTTTGAACTTGTCTAACAACAATCTTGATGGTGAGTATTACACCTTTCACTCTCATCTTGCAAATTTGCTCAAGTTCTATTTACCTCCATAACTTAATAGGGCAAATTCATCTTCAATTTTTATTTATAAGTAATAAGTGCCAATAGATTTTCAACTCAAAGAATTGGCTTCGATAGGTATCATTCCACCTGAAATGGGAGCTCTTGCAAGTCTCACTTATCTAGACTTGTCTTACAACCATATTAGTGGTGAGTTGTGCACCTTTCACTCTCACCTTGCAAATTTGCTAAATTTAGATTTGTATTTACATCTATAATCTAATGGATTATGTTAACCTTGATAAGAAATAATGTGGAACACATTTCAACTCAAATGACTGGATCTGACAGGTACCTTTCAAACTCAAAGTGGACATTTTCATAGTCTTATCTCTTTGAACTTGTCTAACAACAATCTTAATGGTGAGTTTTTCACATTTCACTCTTATATTGCAAATTTGCTCAAGTTGTATTTACCTATATAACTTAAAGGAGCAAAGTCATCCTCAATTTTTATTCAATAAGAAATAAGCTCCAATATAGGTACCCTTCCAACTCATATTGGAGCTCTTTCAAATATCATTTATCTAGACTTGTCTTGCAACAATATTATTGGTGAGTTATGCATCTATCACTCTCATCTTGGAAATTTGCTCAAGTTTTATTTACCTCCATAACTTAATAGAGCAAATTCATCCTCAATTTTTATTTGACAAGAAATAAGCTCCAATACATTTACAATTCAAATGACTGGCTTCGACAGGTGCCATTCCAACTGAAATTGGATTTCTTGATAATATTGTCTATTTGGACTTGTCTAACAACAATCTTAGTGGTGAGTTATGCACTTTTCACTCTCGTCTTGTAAATTTGCTCAAGTTTTATTAACCTCTACAACTTAATAGAGCGAATTCACACTCAATTTTTATTTGATAAGAGATAAGTTCCAATACCTTTACAACTCAAATAACTAGCTTCGATAGGTGCCATTCCAACTCAAATTGGAGCTCTTCCAAGTCTCACTTATCTTAACTTGTCTTACAACAATATTATTAGTGAGTTTTGCTCCTTCTGCTCTCACAGTTCAAATTTACTCAATTTAGATAGCCTACAACACATTTGCAGTTCAACTGACTATTAAAATTGTTACAAGACACAAGTAATGTTAACTAGTTCATCTTCCTAGAAAATTCAATAAAAAATTAGAGTGGATGTTATAAGACACAATCAATGCTAATTTGTTCATCTTCCTAGAAAATTCAATAAAGAGGTTTAGAGTAGATGAATAAGGATACCTCGTAAACATGATGCTGCACTTCTTTCAAGAACTGATGAGCATATCCTTCTCATTGTTCGCCCGCCACTTTTCTACCCCACAATTGTTCAACCATGTATACTTTTTCTTTGTGAAAGGAATAAAGAAAATTACATTGACTTGGATAGAATAACTCCCAACCCCCCCAACCCACTCTCATTATTCCCATAGCATTAGTATGATATATATGAGTATGAAAACAAATGGTTGGGCAACATGTGAGGTCTAATTAAGTAGTCTTGTAAGAAGAAAATTCAGATAAATTTATTTTTAGGCACATATATAAGTTAAATTTAGGGATTATTCCATCACAGATAGAAGCTCTTCAAAATCTCACTTATTTAAACTTGTCTTTTAATATTCTTACTAGTGAGTTATATATCTTCTGTTTCTATTCTTACCTTGTAAATTTACTAAATTTTGAAATATTGTATTTACCTCCCCGTGATCTAACACCTTTATTGACAGGGATCATTCCATCATCGATAAAAGATCTTCAATATCTCACTTATCTGAACTTGTCTTGTAACAATTTCACTAGTGAGTTATCTATTTTTCATTTCTACTCTTACCTTGCAAATTGACTAAATTTTGGAATATTGTATTTACCTCCACACAACCTAATACCTCTATTGACAGGGATCATTCCATCATAGATAAAAGCTCTTCAAAATCTCAATTATTTGGACTTGTCTTGCAGCTATCTTACATGTTTTCTACCTTCCACCCTTGCTAACCTTATTTAGAGTCGCTAGATTTGAGTAAAACCAAGAAAATAGTTAGAGCCATTCTTTTAACTTTGGATTTTATGTCAAATCTCCACAACTTCTATTTATAGTCAAATTTGTTCACTGTAGGTGACATCCCTTCTTTGATTTTCAATTTGGGATATTTGCGACATTTTGATGTTTCTCAAAATCAATTAAGTGGTGGCATGTTAGAACAATTAGGCAATTTCAAATATCCCACTTATATTGTAGATGTCTTCCAAAATAATCTGAGTGGAAACATATCATGCATTTTGAATGATTACTTTGATTTTGATGGTAACTTTATTAACTACAAATCCAATGGAATATTACCATATAGTATATGCAGTTGTCCACCCTTATGTCGCATTGATTTGAGCTATAATAGTATCTTTAGTAGCATACCTAGAGAACTTGGTGTGCTACAGTACATCAAGTTGTCATACAATCTTCTTAGTGGCTATTTCCAAGTGAATTTTATGGCTCTTTTTCTCATGACTTTTTAGATGGTGATACAGAATTACTTTGGCCGAAGGAGATACATAAAGGCTCAAATTCTTTGTTGAAAATCATTATTCCTTTGACAATTTTTCTTGTGATCACATGTGTTGTGGGTTTCATCTTATTTAAATCATTCAAAAAGAACAAGAAATCCATAAGTGAGACAAGAGAAGCCAAAAATAGAGATTTGCTTTCCATATGGAACTATGATGGAAAAATTGCATATGAAGATATAATTGATGCAACAGAGGACTTTGACATTAAATATTGTATCGGAACTGGTGCCTATGGAAGTGTTTATAGAGCACAACTTCCAAGTGGCAAAATTGTAGCATTGAAAAAGCTTCATAGAAGAGAATATGGAAACACATCTTTTGCTAGGAGTTTTCACAATGAAGTAAAGATGTTGAGTGAAATTCGGCATCGTAATATTGTAAAGCTTTATGGTTTTTGTTTACATCATCAGTGCATGTTCCTCATCTATGAATACATGGAAAGAGGAAGCCTTTTTTATGTGTTGAATAATGATGACGATGCTAAAGAGTTGGATTGGAGCAAGAGAGTGAATGCAATCAAAGGAATAGCAAATGCTTTGTTCTACATGCATCATGGTTGTGCTCCTCCAATTATCCATCGAGACATAACAAGTGGTAATGTGTTGTTAAACTCAAACATGGATGCTTTTCTATCTGACTTTGGCACAGCTAGAATCATTGATCCAGATGCATCTAACCAAACTCTTCTAGTTGGTACTTATGGTTACATTGCTCCAGGTCAACTTTTCTGATTCTGTACTACTTCTCTTGTTATGTTGTATCTTTTTTTTTACAATTACTTACCTCTAGACACTTACATAATTTCTTTATATTTTGCTCCATTGCAGAGCTTGCATACACCTTAGTTGTAACTGAAAAATGTGATGTTTATAGTTTTGGAGTGATGACATTGGAAACAATCATGGGAAGACATCCTGGAGATTTGATATTGTCTTTGTCAAAGACATGTTCTGAAAGCATTTGGCTAAAAGATGTGGTAGACCCACGTATCCCATTGCCATCACGAAAAGATGCACGAGATGTAACTCTTTTGGTAGCAATAGCATTAGCATGCTTAAATCCATCTCCCCAGTCTCGGCCATCAATGAAACTAGTGTTTCAAAGGCTTTTATCCTCCAACCTACCATTAGTCATTCCTTTCAATAATATTACAATCCATCATTTAGTGAATCAAGATGTATAAATAATGTAGTATGAAGCTTGGAGATTCAACTTATGTTTGCTTGGTACCTGTAACATCCTAAATATATCTTAATAAAAAATTATTATTATTTCAAAAAAATAAAATAATATTTTATCATTATAAATAACAATATTTTATTATTAAAAAAAACCCCAGCTTTTCCATCAATTCGGTGGAAAAGCTGTAGGCATTAAGGAAGAAGAAGAATTTGGGGAAATGTCATTTATTAAAGAAGGAAAATGAAGAGGAAATGGTTGAAGTTGAAAGATAAATAAGGAAGGATGATGGGATAAGAAGTGAGGTGTATGCAGAGAGAAAGAGAGAGAACAAGAATCAGAGAAACAAAGAACGAGAGAGAAGTAGAGAAGTATTATCATTTTTAAAAGTAATACAAGCTTTATTGATCATTTAGGTACATAAAAGTACTTTTTTTTTTTTAAATTGAAAGTTAACGATTAAGCTCTTAGTACTTAGTTTTCTCTCTTTTGGTAACTGTGCCAAGAACTTACGGGTTACGTAAGACACAGGTCAATGCAAAAACTTAGTAGACCAGCAGGCAAAATTTACCAAAGGCGTTCGGACAAAAAAGAAGAAAATAGAAGGAGTAACTGAAGCCATTATGGATGATAACATGGATAAGAAAGATTCAGAACAAGAGAGTGAGAAGGTGGATTCAAGAAAGGAAAAAAACTCATCAGACCAGGGATGCGGGGAAGCAGAAAGAAATACAAAAACCACTTCTTATAAGCAATCACTCCTAGGATTTAATGGAGTGGCCAATAGAGGTTCCTACATGGAATCAAAAGAGATTCTACAAGAAGAGGATGATATCTTTTGGAAAATGCTGAAACCAACAGAGGAAGTTTAAAGGCTAATGAATATTTACCCGGTGGTTCCTATCTCTGAGGAAGAGTATAATAAGTGGTGCAAGCTGTGGAATTTCTCTTTGATTATAACAGTGCTAGGAAGGAGATACAATCTGTATGCTCTAAAAAGCCACCTCTCAAGACTGTGGGGAATTTCAGATTTCAATCTGATAGACCTACTCAACAACTATTTTGTGGTGAAATTCACGAGTCCTAAGTTCTGGAAGGTGCATTACAAACGAGTTCTATATGGAGGACCATGGGTCATTACTCAACATTGCGTTATGGTGTAGAGATGGGCACTATACTTTGACCCTTTCAAGAACTCTTTGGGTCAAATTGTTACATGGATTAGAATTCCTTGTATTCCTATGCATTGCTACAATAGTCACTGTATAGTAAGATTGGGAGAACGAGTGGGTAGACCCTTAAAAGTTGATTTGAAAACTTTGGCAGATCCCTGCTCCACAGAGACAAAAACAAAGAGAGCACTTTATGCCAGAATATTTGTTGAGCTCGACTTACATAAACAACATGTACCCAGAATCATAGCAGCAAATGAAGCGTTCAATGTTGAATACGAGGTATTAAAACTAATATGTTTTGAGTATGGCCGCTATGGTCACAGAAGGGAGGCATGCCCATGGAAGAAATGCAAGTAAATTGAAAAACATGAAGGAAATAGAGCTCAACCAGACACAGATACACCAGAAAAACAACTAAAAAGCACAACTCTAACAAACCCTGAACCTTTCGGGCCTTGGATGTTCATCTTAGGTCTGCCAAAGCTCGGGTTGTGAGGGAGAGAAACCAACGAGTAGGATGGCCTGTGGGGGGAAATGGTACAAAAGCGGTCAGAAGAGAAGACCTAACCTCTATACCCTCTAGGTATACTGCGTTGGCAGCGCTTGAAAAGGAAGAAGGGATAAGGGATGGAGAAAATAGAGCTAGCGAAAAGGAGGTGGTTGGACTCCCTATGCAAAGGAATTCAGAGTTGGTGATCTGGGAAAAGAAGAAGCCTATGAATGTGGGGAAAGAAATGGCAGCAGGAAGACAATTAGGTGGACCCCACAAGTCCTCTTCAAAGGCAAAGTCAAAAGGGGCCCAAAAAGCCCAAGGCAAGGAGAATGAACGGCCCAATATGGGAAAGAAAAATGAGACAGATGGCAACACTAAGCCCAGTGAGCAAACTAGTGATAGAAAGGACTAAATGGAACATGGACCAAAAGGGAAGGCCAAGTTGGCCTCTAAACAAAGAGTACATAATGTGATTAGTGGAGATGTGAGCCAAGCTGGCCAAGCAAGGAACTTGATGGTTAACAAATCAACTGAGCAGCAGAACAACAAACTCGTGAATCATACCACAAGCACAAACCAAGATCGATATTCACTAACCATCAATGCAAGGAGTGAAAAGGAGCCAGTAATGGAACTCCATTTGGATCTGAAACCACCAGACCCTATGCTGTTAAGTGGTAATGGAAGGGATATGGGGAGAGATGTAGTTGCGACACTAGCAGAGGAGGATATGGCAATGGTAGAAGCCGTTCCAGAGACACAGATGAGCAGATAAGTGCTCTTTTTTCCACTTTGTTTTTATTTACCTATGAATATTGCTAGTTGGAATTGCAGAGAAGCTGGCAATCGGACTTTCCCCACAATAATAAAAGACATTGTTAGAAAGAACAGAATTGATATCTTTTGAATAATTGAACCAAGAATCAGTGGATCAATGGCAGATAATATAGTGAGGAAAATGGGTTTCTCAAACTGGATTATAGTGGAAGCTATAGGATATGCTAGGGGCATATGGCTTATGTGGAATGAAAAAAATTACACTATTGATTACATTTCTTCTAATGAGCAAATTCTGCACTGTCAAATCAAAAACAAACATTCCTCAGTAATATTTTTTGGATCCTTTATTTTTGGAGAGACAAATTATCGTAAGCGGCAAACTCTTTGGCAATCAATCAAAACCATCGTTGAAGCTACTGAAGATGCCTGGATCTTGATGGGAAACTTCAATGCTTACAGATCCCCAAGAGACAAGGGGGAAGGGGCAGGGCTACTTGTCACTTCCATGTCTGATTTTAGTGAGTGTATTGTTGATTCAGGTCTACTGGAATTCGAAGATCCTACCAACAGGTTCACCTGGGAAAGAGGAGAAATTCATGCAAAGTTAGACTAGGTCTTTGGAAACACAGCTTGGAAAGTGAAATTTCCGCAATCTAGAATCTATCATGACCTGAAATATAGATTTGACCATAAGGTTATAGTCCTGTCTTCACATAGTCAAGAGAAACAATGTCGCCCACCCAAACAGTTCCATTATCAAGCTGCCTGCGCTCTCGAGGATAGTTTTGATGATATTGTTTGGAAAGAAAGTAATTGGTGCCAAGGGGTGGTGAAATTTCAAGAAGCTGCGACTAAGTGGAATAATAAACACTTGGGAAGTATTCTGAGACGTAAACAAGCAATTCTGAAGCGAATGGAGGGCATTAAGAAACACAAAATGAGTAATCCTTCAAATGGGCTAGCTCGTGTGGAAAAGAACCTCTGGAATGAGTATAATAAATTAACTCTCCAAGAAGAAATGATCTAGTTTCAAAAAGCTCAATGCAACTGGCTTAAATGGGGGACAGAAACACCAAATTTTTCCATGCTTTAGTTGTGATCAAGAGGAGAAGCAAAAAATAACAGCCTTATGAAATGACAGTGGTGAATGGGTACAAAACCCGAAAGAACTGACCTAGATGGCAAGTCACTTCTACCAACAGCTCTATACAAATGACAACTAGATAGAAGAAGACTTGAGCTGGCTAGAAGGCTTCCCGAGATTGACACCATCGCAGGTTGATGAAATTCATAAAGAGGTGACCGACGTCGAAATTAAAAATGCTGCTTTCTCAATGGGAGCATTCAAAGCTCCAGGACTAGAGGGTCTTTAAGCACATTTCTTCCAATCCCAATGGGAGAAAGTGGGGTAGGCTCTATGTAAGTTAGTCAAAGAGGCTTTTTGAAATCTAGCAACTATTGGCAATTTCAACCAGACCAATATAGTGCTCATCCCAAAAATGGACTAACCAATGACTTTAAAGGAACTGTGACCAATTTCGCTATGTAATGTGAGCTGCAAAGTGATAACCAAGGTGTTAGCTATCAGACTGAGGTCAGTTATAGACCACTTAATTGGACAAGAACAGTGTAGCTTTATAGCCTCCAAATCAAGCTACGATAACATAATTATCGCCCAGGAAGCTATACACCGAATGAGAACTAGGACAGGTAAGAAGGGTTTTTTTGCAGTTAAAGTTGATATGGAAAAAACTTTCGACCATTTGGACTGGGGCTACCTTAGAAACACTCTCCATTGTATAGGACTAAAAGATGATTTGATTGAACTTATTGCGGCTTGTGTTACCTCTGCTAAAATGAAAGTGTAGTGGAATGGCTTAGAGGGCCTTGAATTTACCCCTTCAAGAGGTGTTCAACAAGAGGACCCTTTAAGTCCCTACCTTTTTATTTTGTACATGGAGAGATTGGGTCATCTAATAAAACAAGAATACCAGAAGAAGAGGTGGAAACCACTAAGATTCAAAAGTAATAGACCCCAGATCTCCTACCTCTTCTTTACCGATGATCTACTTCTTTTTGCAGAAGCCTCCCTAGAACAAATGGAGGAAATCAAGCAAGTCATGTGGAGGTTTTGTAACATCTCAGGACACAAGATTAATCTGGACAAATCCAAAATCTTCTTCTCGAGGAATCTGCATTTCAACCACACAATTCAACTAAGTTAATGTCTTGGGATTAGCATCACTCCTGATTTTGGAAAATACCTGGGTGTCCCACTAATACACTTAAGAGTGACAAAAAACACCTATGGACACATCACCCAAAGAGTCAAATCCTGACTCACTGCCTGGAAAGGAAGTTTTCTATCCATAGCTGGGAGAACAATGCTTATCAAAACTGTGTTATAAGCTCTTCCCTCCTATCAGATGTAATCAACGCTTGTCACATCCCGAAGATTTTCACTTGGCTATAGGGAATTAAAAATTAGGATGAGGGTCAACATAGGCACTAGACAGGGAGATGAAATAACTTTTGATGTGAAACCCTGATGAGGTCCGGGCTGATATTTTCGTAATTATTGGTCTAGGAAAGGCAAAATGAAAAAATTTAAGAAAAATTCTAGAAGATTCCCAAAAAAATAGGAAAAGTGTAAAGTAGAGATTTTGGAAACTCGGTTGGGGCCCGAAAGGTGAAATTATGGTGAAAATAAATTGTTACAAACTTTCCCATAAACAGAGGTTTTTCGGGAAAATATTAGAAAATCAGAGAAAACCAATTATTTTAATTAGTTAGAAGCCTCAATAAATTTAAAAAAAAGATGGATAAACTATCTAAATATTTATTTAAATTTATAAAATTGGTTTTAGGCCTTGGGGGTTCAGGAATTAATTTTAGGGAATTTATTTTCCCGTAGTAACACTAATAAAAGCCTAATCGGAGAAAATTCAAAATAAATACCTAGAGGTGGTAAAAAATTCTGAAAATTTTCACATCATGTTCTCATATTAAAAGGTGAATTATTATGGGGAGAAATAAATTTTTGGAGGTCTGAAAAAATTATAGAATCTTACTAGTGAATAGTAATTGATAAAGTTTCCAATTGGTTTGGATAGTAATTTGGTTTGTGAGCCATTTTTTAGACCAGCCCAAGCCATTTGTGGGGCCTACATTGAGCACAATGATGGTCCAATTTCGTTTGCTTGCTGGCTACTCCAATAATTAATTAAATAAAATGTGAAATTAATAGATCATTGCTTGGAAAAATCTAGAAAATGGCCACTTGTGATAATCTGATTATTTTCACACTTGATGACTGCCACATAACCCCATGAGGTGTCCTAGTTCAGCCAAATCAAGAGGCAGAAGGGTAGATTGATTTTCTCTATATATACCCCTTGGAAAATGCAAATAAATGTTAGAAAATTAGAAAAATAAGGGGAAACCCTGTCACTGTAGCTCCATCCTTTTTCTTTTTTTTTGAATTTTCAAGTGTTTTAAGTGAGGAATCATCCAACTTACATCAAGGAAACATCAAGGTATGTTTAAGCATTCTTGCCCCTAAGTTTCAAGCTTGATTGGTTAGGGTTTTTAGCTTGGAAAATCATGGGAAAATGCTGTCCATTTTTTATGAATCATGTGGCACTTAGGGAAGGATAGAAACCTTGATAATCAAATGGAATAAGCAAGATTAAATGGTGTATGGATTGATTTTTGGAAGAAAATCAAAGTTAGGGTTTTAAAGGTTCATTCGGCCAAGCACTGTTCATGTAGGAGAAAATTGTTTTGGCTTGATTTGATAATTCCAATGGCTTTAAAATATGTTTTTGTGTAGGGATATGTTGTTGGGAAGTGTTTAAAATTATTGGAATCAAAAATGGAAATTTTGGAAGTTTATATACCCTATTCAGCCAAGGTGAATACATGGGGAAGGAGTTTGATTTTCAAAAATCTGATTCCATATTTGAATTCCTCATGAAAAATTGTATAGGAATGAGTTATGAGGTTATTGATTCTAAAGGAGGAATCATTTTATTAAAAATCAAAGAAAAGAGAGAGAAATTGTTAAGTTAAAGTTTACGAATTGCATATAAGTTGTTTGGTTATTAGTGTGGCCTATTTTTATGCTTGGTTTAATAGGCTTTGTGAGAAGGGAGTAAGGAAGATCATTGTCCCTTGAAGTAATCAAATTGAACAAGTAATAAAAGGTTGCTTTGAATTATAATTTGATTGCATATCTTGCTTGTTTAATGTGATTTGTTGTTTGCTTGAATTGAGAAACTTGTGTTGTGATTTTGGTTGGTTGAATAACCTAGGTTTATATGTTGCCAAATGCATTGAATTCTATTAATGTGAAAGTGTTGTGTTCCTCTACTAGTATGAGACTAAGCATGATTTTATGTGACTTAAGAATGTCTTGAAGTTCTATAACATGTCACATGATAACTTGCTTGACTTGCATGGTAATTGTAATTCAAATGCTACTGAGATTTCATAGAAATCTCATTCCTCCTATGCTAAATTATATTTTAAATAGGGAATGATTCATCCAATGGGAAGGGCAAGGAAATGGTTTTGGGATGAAGGAGCAATATGGAATTCTTGATATTTTGAAAAGTTGTGTAATGCCTTAAT